AAAAAAAAAAAAAAAAAAAAAAAAAAAAAAAAAAAAAAAAGAACATTCGTCGGCACGAGAAGAGAAGTGACATTTCGCGCAACAAAAGACGCGCTCCGTTTTACCTCATCTCTCTTCATCTTTCCCCTTTTTCTCTTTCTTTCACTCTTTCTCTCTTTCTCTCTTTCTCTCATCTCACTCGTTCACTCACTCATTCGTATGGTTCTCAACACATGCGCACAGGCGCTCTCTCAATTTCTCTCCGTGTGCAAATGCATTTGAATTTAAAACTCTCGAGAGTTGCTCTCGAAAGTTAGCAGTGGACACTACCACTACTCGAGAATGAAAGTCACTGTCGGATAATCGCTTTCATCGCAGTGTTCTCTTCTCCCAAAATGAGTAACTCTCCAGAATTTTTACCTTCTAAAAAAAAAAAAAAAGTGTTCAACGTCCTAAAAATTAGACGCTCAAGAATTATTTTTCAACAATGGACATTGCGTTAAAAGTGAAGGTAATTTTCACTTTTTTCATGCAGCGTCTATCCATGAAAAATAACTCTTGTAATTTTCCTTTTTTTTTTACTCTCAAATGTAATCACACACTAGTTCACCCTTCCACTATTTCTCTTTCTCATTCATTCTCATCGCATTTTTTTTTTTTTCGTCTTCCTCGTTCGTCGAATTCCTCCCCGTATCGAACCGTATCCCTCCCATAGAAGAGAAACGAAACATGCGAGAAAATCTAGGACAAAACGAGGTGAGATCACATATACTCCCCGGAAATCAAACGAACTGAACTCGTTTTTCTTCTTAATATAACGCACTATACGCGCCGTTTTACCCAGTTGGTTCTTATCTCTCGAGCACCAAGTCCTCTTTTTTTTTTTTTTTTTTTACGGAGCAATCATTTATGTATATATTCATATGTATATATATATATATATAGTGTATATATACGTTATGTATAAAGTGTGATTTTTTTCTTGCAATGACGTAATATCGCTACAATACGTTTTTTTTTTTTTTTCCTTTTTTTTTTTATCGAATAAATTTTCGTCGTGTCTCTCCGTTCGCAGTGTCAAATATACTTACAATAGAAATATATTAAAATTGCAAAGTTTTCACGGAGCACGCCGGATATCCTGTATACATATATATATCGGCGCGATTAATACTCTTATGTATCGGTATCACTTATATCGGTAGCGCAAAACCCGCTAACGATGAATCCTGAACGAGGTCCTCCACATTCTCTCTTATCTCGTGCATCTATTTTCCTCCTCTTCCCTTCTTCCCTACCTCTCTTACTCTTTACCTCTCTCTATATCTATACGAGTGTTGTGTGTCACGTATTGAACAACGTGTATGTGTTGTGTGTGGTGTATGTGTGTGTGTGTGTGTGTGTGTGTGTGTGTATGCGTGTGTGTGTAGAGTGTAGTAAGTATCGTGTTTCGTTTTTATATACGTATAGCGAGAGTCGGGCAGTTGATTTAATTCGTTTCTTACAGACTGACAAGGAACAAAATTTTTCATCTCGAATATTCACCCTTCTACCCACCAAAGTGTGGAACCAAACACACCCTAATAACGGCTCTATTACGACTCGACTTTCGTATTTTTTTTTTTTTTTCAGAGATCCTTCGCGCTCTGACGACAGAAGGAAAACCAAAGCGATTTCTTTGGTGTAATTGGAATCCAAAATTATCCCCGATACGAACGATAAAAAGATAAATCGAGATGCATCGATGTATCTCTCTTCACTCGATCGTTCTCATTCCTCTTTTCTTTTCTTAATAAACTAGAACACGTTCCCCACGATCGATCAGGAACGAAAATATTTTTCCACCATTTTTTTTTTTTTTTTCTCTCTCTTTTTCCTTTCTCCACTTTATTATTCGTCGACGAACGGAAATGCCGTGAAACGTAAGTACCTCTATCTATCTCTGT